CATATCTTTTGACACAGACCCGCTCTCTCAGGGGTCGAGCTCTAACACAATAGTAGAACCAAATGTTAGGAGACGTTCAATCTCACCATCAATCGATAGGAATGTCTCTGCTGCTTCTGGAGGTGCAGCTGCACGCAGTCAGGTCAGACATATGTCCCCTCCTCGTGTTACCTAGTTGCATAGTTCCCGTTTTCTGAGACGGACTTATTTCAACTAAAGGGTCGTCTCATTCCACACGTCGTCCAGTTCGAAGGTTGTCGGATAGCTCTCAGGATTCTGATTCTGATGACTCCACTTCTCCGCGACGGTGGACCAGCCATGGCCGACGGAGTAATTCGTTCCGTCCACCACCTCGGGAACTCGATTATGATGGTAAATCTGATTGGACTCTGTTCTAAAGCCGTTTCACATCGTATGCAGTGGAAAAAGATAGGAGTGGCACTAATTCCTAAACAAACATGGGTTGGTGTCTTAAATGCAAAGCCAGTGATATTTACAACCGGATACTAGACCGGGAACCATCAATTGATTATACTCGCATGATGCATGAACTTGGCAAGCGATTTGGGAACAGGGAGGTTTTGGATGTAGCGATAATGAAATTTTCTCAGGCCCACAGGAGCATGGTGAGGAAATTCTAGAATGAACTGATAGAGTCCAGCATTTGGCTCATCGAGCTTATAAACATCTGGAAAGGGGAGAAGAAGAGCAGATGGCAATCATGTAATTTGCAAGTTCAGGGTTTGCTTGATAAGCGTTTAGCAGAATATATTTCCAACGCTAATATTTCTTCCATGGAAAAAGCCATTGATAGGGCTCAGACATTTCAGCATAATGTTGTTGCTATTCACGGGTCAGCAGGCTCATCCTCATATGGTTCCCATCAGCAGAGGTCCCAGGGCCCAACAGTGCAAATAAATGCTGTGAGTAGACCTTCCCGATATGAACAACCATCCTGAAGTAGTGTTGCTTCTCGCCTCCAATCACGGACACCCACAAAATCTCCAGATTCATCACCGGCTGCTAGCCTATCTGATCATGGTAACGGGGTTCCCCGGCAAAGAAATGCTGGATTAGGTTCTCCCTCTCTTGCGGGAAGATACAAAGTTAGATAAATTGGCAGGTATGAACGCAAAACTAGACGAAGTTGTCTCAGGAATCTCAGCGGCTCGTGACAAATTGGACGATTTGTGTGAGGGTTTGAGGCGTCTCACAAACGCTATCATATCGCTTCGTGGTCAACGCACCCCATCACCGAGGCGGAGTAATAATTGTTACTTATGTGGGGACGAAGGTCACTGTGCTCCTTTGCTCGTGACTGCAAAAGGTCCAGAAGTGGCTGGGACGAAGGCCGTAAACAGGGGGAGCATACCGACGATAAGTTTCATGTTTCATTTCCTGAGGAGAATTCGTCTTTAAACATGGACGGGTCGGCTCAACAGGCCTAAATCCGAACCAGCCATCACCAGGCCCGCAACGTCTACCTAGGGTACGTCCCCGGAATGTTGTAAGTAATCTGATGTTAAAAGACAATGATATTCACTTTTCATCTTTGAATAACCCTGCAGAGGGTCAGTAGGTTTCATCTATGCAGCCTGAAAGCTCACCACCTGAAGTTCTCTCAATGCTAGAGTGTAGGACCAGGGAAGTGAGCGTACTTCAGGACCACACGCTAGTAGAACAACCTGATCATGGGCAAAAGACTGCCCAAACAAATATCCAATCATTAGGGGAGGGGTTAGAAAAAAGTACTCGTTCAGACATTAGTATTGTATAGGACTCGGGGCAGAAGCAGCAGATACGGACAAAGATTTTCAGCAGGGTTTGGCTGCGCTAGATGGGAACACATCGGGTGAAGTTCCTTCAATGCTCCAGTGCGGGACAGAAGTGGCACTTTAGAACCTTGCCTTTGCTGCACAATCAAGCCAGGATCAGGAAGTGACACTGTTGAACATCCAACCTTCAGGAAGATTAATTAAGAATCTAGAGCAAAGACATGAGGGTGTCTCCTCATTTCATTTTAAAGGAGAAGTTAGATTTCAGGAGCTGTTCAATGGGAAATGTAATTATAGCAGGAGGAACCACAGGAAGGAGCAAATTCCTTACAAGAAGCAGGGCTTTTTAAAACACAATTAGGAAAGGCGACCTCAGAAGAAAATAAAAGAAAAGCTAGCAGTAGGTCAATTTCTGGAAGGCATAGATCCAATTGCTTTCCCTTGGGATCCTGGGGGTGAGATGTGTGGATAGTGTTGCTCTGTCAAGGAAGGAACCACAACCAAGGAGCAGCGTTTAGGTGTGAGGACCATTACTAGGGTGAATCCCTAGGAGTGAATCTTGAATAAAAGAAAAAAAACCTGCAGTGTAGTGTAAATAAATCATGATCAGTTCTGTGCACCAAAATAGTACTACCTCGTTCAATCATAAGAATTAGATCAACCAACACCATGTCAGTACAATAATCATGAAGAATTTCACAATGAAGCACATACTATATATATATATATATATATTGTTAGACGTTTTCTTTTAGACAAAGCAGAAACGTTCTCTTCTGTTGCTATATATATATATATATTCCACCCCTTAATGTGAAGCCGGTGGAGGGTCCTTTCCAAAAGGACATACCAAGTTTAAATTAAGTTAAATTTAAGTTTCTAATACGCCCCTTGTTTTAAAGGGACGGGGGGAGTGTGGAGGGAACCACATTCAAAGTGCCCGCCAGAGGGACTATATCTTATGCTAGGGAACATCAGTGAAATACCATCCATTATATACAAGAGCGCCTCCCACGCCCTTGCCCTACCTATAGCTCTGCTGTTCAACAAATCCCTTGAGTGCCATACCTTCCCTGATATCCTTAAAAAAGCAAGAGTAACACCAGTTCATAAAGGAGGTAATCCGGCAGACATAAACAATTATAGACCAATATCAAACCTACCCACACTATCAAAAATATTTGAAAAAATTATCTACAAACAGCTTTACTCCTACCTCGTAAAATTTGACATTCTTAGCCCCTGTCAGTTTGGCTTCCGCTCCCAAAAGAGTACCAACGATGCAATTATTAGTCTCCTTGATATAATTTACTCAGCCCTTGACAAAAATGAGTTTCCAATTGGACTCTTCATTGACCTGAGAAAGGCCTTTGATACTGTTAATCACAATTACCTCTTACGTAAACTCCATCATTATGGAATTCGAGGCCATACACTGGACTATATCCAATCCTATCTTAGTGATAGACACCAATGTGTAGCCATCAATAATATAACCTCTCCCACTCTACCAATAACCGTTGGAGTGCCACAGGGCAGCATTTTGGAACCTCTCTTATTTCTTATTTACATCAATGATCTGCCTAGCGTCTCTAACATTCTGAAACCTATTTTGTTTGCTGATGATACTACCCTCATCTACTCTAACCCCAACCCACATACACTAAATAATGTTGTTAATAATGAACTAAAAAAAGTCCACTTATGGATGTCAACCAACAAACTAACACTTAACATAGAAAAGACCTACTACATCTTATTTGGAAGCAAATCTACAAATGCAATTCAGCTTCAGATAGACAATGTAAACATTAGCAATAAAAATGATGGAAAGTTTCTTGGCCTATTCCTAGACAAGAGACTCAACTTCAGTACCCACATACAACACGTAACTAAGAAAGTCTCTAAAACAGTTGGTATATTCTCCAAAATCAGATATTATGTACCTAACTCTGCTCTCATCTCTATATTATGCACTAATCTATCCCTATCTTAATTATGGTATCTGTGCATGGGGTTCAACCACTGCAAACCACCTCAAGTCAATCATTACCCAGCAAAAATCTGCTATCAGATAATAACAAATTCTGCTTTCAGACAACACTCAGCCCCCTTGTTTAACTCCCTAAACATGCTAAACATAATCTCACGCCACAAATTCTCTTGTGTCAACTAGACACAAGAGCAAAGCAGGGCAAGCAAAGACAAATCCTAAAGGGTTTTTTTCAGTTATATCGTACTAAGACTAGGGAAAGGATAGGTCCATTAAAAACTGAGACAGGTCAAATAACAGATAGTGATGAAGAGATGAGTAGTATTTTTAATAAATATTTTGTATCTGTATTTACTAAAGAGGAACTTAACAATATGCCTTCAGCCGAACAAGTCTATATGGGTGGGGTCGAGGACAGGTTGACGAGTTTAGCAGTTACCAGGGAGGATGTTCTTAAACAAATCGTAAAACTCAAATTAAACAAATCCCCAGGGCCGGATGAAGTGTTTGCCAGGGTGCTTAAAGAATGCAAAGAGGAGCTTTGTGACCCACTGTCAACCATATTTAATAAATCAATAGAGTCAGGCAGAGTGCCAGAGTTTTGGAAAGTTGCTAATGTGATACAAGTTTTTAAGAAAGGAGATAGATCACTTGCGTCTAACTATCGACCAATTAGCCTAACGTCTATTGTGGGAAAGTTACTCGAATCTATAATAGCAAATAAAATTCGTCTTCATCTTGAAAAACATAAATTAATAATTGAGTCGCAACATGGTTTTATAAATGGCCGTTCATGTTTAACAAATTTGTTATCTTTTTATTCTAGCATAGTTGAGGCAGTTGATAGTGGTAAGGATTGTGATGTTGTGTACCTTGACTTTAGCAAAGCTTTTGATACAGTGCCACATGAAAGACTGATTAAAAAGATAGAGTCTCATGGTATTGGGGGTGCTATATTAAGCTGGATTAGGGCATGGCTATACCAAAGGAAACAGAGACCTTTGAGTAGACAAATTCCAAAATATTAGGGCTGAGGGAGGTCGAGGTTAATTCCATACTCAATTTCTAGAGGTTAGATAACCAGCAGCTGAAAAGTCGCGTACCAGGAACTTATATTCGACGTACTAAACACAACTAGGTGAACACAAACATACATTGCCTCAATATTGCAGTGATTTCAAAACACGAAATTCACTGGCCATTACAACTCAATAACAGAAATGTTCACCTACTTCTTCTCAACAGCTTGGTGCATTCCATATTCTGCAGATGGTACTATCTCCATCAGGCGATACAGAGCCTGGAACACCTCGGAATCGGACTGCTTGAAGAACTGTCGAAATGGCTCTCCAAAAGGTGGCATCGTTACCCTGGTGGGAAGGGCAGCAGTTGGAGGACACAATGGTGAAAGCTTATCCATAAACACACTTTTAAGAACTATACATGAATATATATATTGTACTGAATGTATGTATTTAGTTAAATATTTAACATTTTTAGAAACTGTTACATTCAAGTTCAGAAAACGATTAGCTTGGATGTTTTTTTTAACATTTCTCATGTGGGAAAAATCTCCCACCAGGAATCTATTTCTTTATTTATTTTTTTTATTTATTTAATTTATTAATTAATTTAATTTATTACTTTATATTAGCCCGTATGCTGAAACATCACTCACATAAGTGTAACACCAGCCCGTATGCTGAAACATCACTCACATAAGTGTAACACCAGCCCGTATGCTGAAACATCACTCACATAAGTGTAACACCAGCCCGTATGCTGAAACACCACTCACATAAGTGTAACACCAGCCCGTATGCTGAAACATAACTCACATAAGGAACCTAACTTCATAGAAGTTGGATGGAGAAAGGGGGAGAGAGGAGGAGAGAGCTGGAAAAAAGGAATTGCAAGAAATGGCCTGAAAGGGTAGAGTCGGGAAGAAAGAGTGGGTACGGGAAGAAAGAGGGGAAACGAGAATAAAGGGAGGATACGGGAAGAAAGGAGGATATGGCAAGATAGGGGTATACTGGAAGGAAGCGGGGATAAGGAAAAAAGAAAGGACACAGGAGGAAATGTTGGATACAGCAAGTTAGGGGGGGATACGGGATAAAAGGGGGAATATTGGATAAAAGGGAGGATAAGGGAAGAAAGGAGGGGATACTAGAAGAAATGGGGGATAAGGAAGAAAAGGAGATACGGGAAGAAAGGGGGGGGGGATACGGGTAGAGAGATGAGAGATGGGGACATAACCAAATTTCAGTATAATAAGCAAAGCGTTATAGTGATATAGTCAAACCCTCTTGGGTCCTAAACCAAAGACAAAGGAGGAGAAGGAAAGGCAAGAGACAGTTCCATGGCCCCGCTCGGGAAACCGGAAGCTGCGGGCGTGAAGAAAGGCAGGGAAATGTAAGACACAAGAGTCATAAACTGTATAGACATGACCATCAGACAGCAACTAAGGACTAAAGAATGGAACGAGGAGAGGGGAAGAATAGCAAAGGCAAATGAGGTGAGGCAGGAGACAGTTATATAAGACCAGCCCTAGAGACTGAGAGAAGGCAAAGAGGCGAAGAGATCAAAGAGAGAAATATAAACCAAAAAACGACCGACAGGAATCAAGGATTAAGCATTGGAACGAGGAGAGAGAGAGGAAGAATAGAAGAAGATGTAGACGATGAGTCACAATAATGTGGCTTGAAGATATAACACCTTAACCACCCACCACAGGGAGCCGGTCGGCCGAGCGGACAGCACGCTGTACTTGTGATCCTATGGTCCCGGATTCGATCCCGGACGCCGGCGAGAAACAATGGGCACAGTTTCTTTCACCCTATGCCCCTGTTACTTAGCAGTAAAATAGGTACCTGGTTATTAGTCATCTGTCACGGGCTGTTTCCTGGGGGTGGAGGCCTGGTCGAGGACCCGGCCGCGGGGACACTAAAGCCCCGAAATCATCTCAAGATTACCTCTCAAAGTAACCCACCAGAAGATGAGGAGATGACGACATTTTGGTTTGTCCAGGACCACAATCGACTTGATAATGGTCCAGGACGGATCAAAACGTCGTCGTCTCCTCATCTTCTAGTGTGTGATTTAGTTCTCATAATAAAAGAAGAACGAATTAATTATTATAATTAATTATAAGGTGACAATAGGTAGAAGTAATGCCTAAACAATAAAACAAAAAATGCCCGAGGAATATTATTCACTCTAAAGAAGAACCATATTATCGATGTTATCCGTATGAGGCCAGGAAGAACAGCATAAAACAATAAATATTACTTGTGAACCACTTTGACCAGCTGCTCGAGGGTCTCAGGTGTCGGTGGGTACTTGGGCATGGTGAGGGTGGCGGTGAGGTTACCCCTGTAGACGGTGCCCACGACGAAGGTAAACACCAGCCACGCCACCAGCAGCACCCGACTCGAACTACGCCCAGGAAGGTGCTTGTTAGTGCCCTGGCCGAGCAGTGCCCCAACAGCTATTTCAGTCGCGTCTCCCATAGATATTCCCCTGCTATACTCTTCTCCGTGTTTAGGCCGGGCGATCTGCAGTCGTGAACATATTGTTTGCTCTTAGAATATAACACAGTGATAAATGCTCAGGAACAACATTGTTGATGACAATGTCATTATTACATTTTTTATTAAGTTTATTTGGTACAGAGGTTTATTTGGTTTATTTGTTATTTATAACATAAATTATTGACTTAGTTGTGTTAGTTTAGGTTAGGTTTAGATAGGTTAGGTTAGGTAGGGTTGGTTAGGTTAAGTCATATATCTATGTTAGTTTTAACTCAAATTTAAACAAATTAACTTATGCATAATGAAATGGACAGATTTCATAAGAAAAAATGAGAAAAATATATAAATTCAGGAAAACTTGGCTTATTAGGCAAATCGGGCCTTGCATAGTAGGCCGAGTACGACGTTCTGGCTACTAGGTACAACATATATATATCTATAAATATGTCGTACCTAGTAGCCAGTATGCACTTCTCGGCCTACTATGCAAGGCCCGATTTGCCTAATAGGCCGAGTGATTTTCTTTATTTTCAACAAATTGTTTCCAATTGGTTTATTTGAATGATTATTATTATTTTAAATTAAGAACATAAATTATTGACGAAGTTATGTTAGATTAGGTTACGTTAAGATAGGTTAGGTTAGGTAGGGTCGGTTAGGTTCGGTCATATATCTACATTAGTTTTAACTCAAATTTAAAAAAAATAATTTACACATAATAAAATGGACAGATTTCTCATTTCATAAGAAAAACATAGAAAAATATATAAATTCAGAAAAACTTGGCCTATTAGGCAAATCGGGCCCTGCTTAGTAGGCCGAGTACGATGTTCTGGCTTCTAGGTACAACATATATATATACAAATGGTGTACCTAATAGCCAGAATGCAATACTTGGCCTACTATGCAATGCCCGATTTGCCTAATAAGCCAAGTTTTCCTGAATTTATATATTTATCTATTTTTTTCTTGCAACAAAATAGGTTTGTTGTAAGAAATTATTCAGTATAGATTCTCATAGACATAAGGACCGCGTAGTTTTGAAAGTTTTGAGGCAGACGGTACTCGACCTGACTCAGCAGAGGAATGGTCATCCCTCCAGGGATAAAAGGGATTAGCATTTAAGATTACAAGATGGCTGGCTCTCTGTAATGCAACATATAATGAATATGTCAACAAAATACAGTAATGTGGCTGTATTTTGTATATGGCTGTATGTAGGTATGTTAGGTTTACATGTATGTAGAATGAATGTTGAGATCAGGGTTCGTATATCATCAAACATAGTGACGTCATGTAGAATAGGAGGGGACTAACTTGCTTGGCGTAAGAATTTTGACCACCCTGGGTCAAGGGGGTCACCAAAACCCTCCATATTAGTGATCATAGTGTACAAATATAGGACACTATTCTATACTGTAATGGGAAATAGCCTTTCCCTATGATGTCTGTACAATTACCATCAGTTTTATAGGGGGTCAACCAGCTAGCTTGTTCAGTACAATATTAGATTAGTTGTTCAATTTAAACCTTGCTTAGTAAAGTTAGTAGACCTGGCGGAGTGATACTCACTAGCCTAGGTCAGTCCTTAGTGGAGGACAGGCTACAGAGAGTCAGTGTGGGCTCGGTCAGCAACTGGGGAGGGCCACCATCCTCACCTCTCCAAAAGATCAGCATTCCATCGGCTGGGTTCATAGTCAAGGTAAAGTTGCTAAGTTTTGTTATAGGGAAATAATTCACTTGTGCCTCGATAGGGAATATTAACAGTTTTTAAAAAGTCAGGTTAGAGCATGTAAAGGCAGGGAGTGATTGTTATTAGTTGTTTTCTACATTTGCATAAATAAATTATTAGATTGTTCCTCGGTATTTTATTATGTCCATGAATGATTTTGCATGTCCTTGCCATGTAGTCTCCACGAGTTTGGGCTTATTTGGGTCGCAAGCCTAGCCCAGTTTGAGCCAATATATCCCCTTGTTTTCTGTAATTCCCACACTTAACGTAAATTCATTCCCCCTTTTCCAAGTAATTTGGGGATTAAGCCCCAAGGGTTTAAGGATTGATTAATTGGTCCAGACCCTTATTAATTAATAGCTTTAGGTTAATGGTCTGGTGGTGGCGGCGTAAAGAGATCCTTGAGTGTGCTAAAAAACCTAGTACGACGTCACGTGGCTGTAGGATCTTAGCCGATCGAGCGGCTATGACCACGTGGTGTGGGACTCGGCTGAGAGCTCGCTCTGGGATCCTTTGGAATCCTTTGGTTTAAGTTCATGTAAGCAAATGCATGGGCTGGGTAAAGGACAAAGTAGAGCCGATACCTGTTCCGTGTTACAATGGTAGGCAGCGGTGTTTGAATAATTTCTTAAAAATTATTGAAGCCTCACACGTCTTTCCGTTCAGTCATGCTGCATGTTCAGAGTCCAGTCGGGGCCACACGCTAAGTTCGCGGGAAGCATATGTAGTGCGATTTGCATAGAGTAGGCGATTCTATAGTGTCATGGAGAGCTGGTAGTTTTAAGTTAGACTGTTAAGTTAGGCAGTTAATTGTGGACCGCCTACATTGATTGGTCAAGGTATATTACTCGACCTCCTCCAATTAATGTAAGGGTGTCGTGTGGATGCCACATACGACAGCAGTTCTGGGGTGAACTGTCAGGGGCCGTATTTTCTGTGGGACGCCACGAGAGTACTGTAAGGGTCTGGGCCGGCGACCCTAAAGCTGGACGTTACGGCTAATTCATGAAGATGGTCGCCACCATTCAGGGATAAGTATATAACGTGGTTGGCAATCGGATAGACGACTAGTGATCACACGCTAGTCAATGTCGATTAGGATCTAGTCATAGACTCTCGTGAAGGTGGCCTTCTGTGCGGGGATGATCCAGTGGTCGAGATCACTAGGATTCGGACAGTTGGCTGGTGGGTAGGGAAAAGCTATAGGTTTAAATCGAGTTCCTTAAGTTATAAATTAAGTTCCCTTTGTAGATTCTAAGTTTCCCCTAAGTAAATTGTAAGTCCTAGGATAGTTATCTAGAATTAGGTGTAATTTTTCTCGTGTGTTAAAGGGATTTTGCTTACACATGGTCGTGGTGCTGTACAGAAATTGTTTTGTAAGTCGTGTGCGATTTTTTTCCAAGTCCTTTTGAATGGTAGATTCGGGTAAATGCGGAAAATTCGAATCGTGTGGGTAATCAATGCAAGTTAGTTCAGGGATGTTATGTAGATTTCGCCGGTAGGAGAAATATTTTGTTTTCCTCAGGAAAGTATAAAATTCATTTTTACCGATTTTTACGCGTTTTCCCCATTTTGGATGATAGAATTTTTTCAAATCCAAGTTTGGATGGAACCTCAGATTTTGGCGGAAATTTGGATTAGCGTGACAAATGCGTGTCCCATGTGTTAGTTTTCTTCCTTATTGCGGGCTATTCAGGTCATTCTAGTTAAAAGTTGTAAATTAAAAATTGTAATTGTAAGTGTTTTAGCGAATTTGGCATGAGACTTTTTTTTTGGGTTGACTCGACACAGAGTTCAGCGCTTACTTTTTTTAAGTTATTCCAGCTCTGTCTAGCCCAGGTGTAGCCATTTGTTCCTAGAATATTGCCCATTCAATTAAAGTAACTAAATTGATTTAACGTAAAATATATTATTCTTCCTTCTTATGGTAATCCTTTATCTTAGTGTTCAGTAGAGTACACTCTATCTCTCATCTCCTTAATGCCAAATGTGGGTCACGCGTAACGAGTGCGAAGAATTTCATTCATTTTGCCTGTGGGTTTGAGGTGACGAAGACACCTGTCAGCGCCTTGTCTAAACAACGCATTGATGTATGGCGGTTTGCTGGATAGAGTGACTTTTTTCTTATTGGCGAAATTCTTAAAGAACAAACCGAGAACTGGTGTATGAGTGTTTTAATGTTTTAACGGCAAACCTCCAGTCAGATGTAGATCAGGTCTTTCTATGGGCTACAGAAAATAATATGGTGTTTAACGAAGATAAGTTCCAGCTCATGCGCTATGGAAAAAATGAAAATATAAAAACGGAAACCACGTACAAAACTCAGGCAAATCATAACATAGAACGAAAAGGCAATGTAAAGGATCTGGGTGTACTCATGTCGGAAGACCTTACCTTTAAAGAACACAATAAAGTAGCCGTCACAACTGCAAGAAAAATGACAACTTTTCACACTAGAGATGCTATACCGATGATGATACTTTTCAAAACGCTTGTGCTCTCTAGAGTGGAGTACTGCTGCACAATGACAGCCCCTTTCAAAGCTGGAGAAATTGCTGACCTGGAGAGCGTGCAGAGATCCTTTACTGCTAGAATCCACTCAGTAAAACATCTAAACTATTGGGACCGACTAAAGAGCCTAAAACTGTAGTCCCTTGAGCGCAGGTGGGAGAGGTACATAATAATTTACACGTGGAAAATATTAGAGGGGCTGGTCCCAAACCTGCACACAGAAATAATATCACATGAGAACAGAAGACATGGCAGGATGTGCAAAATACCCCCGTTGAAAAACAGAGGTGCAACAGGTACTCTGAGAGAGAACTCTATCAACATCAGAGGTCCGAGACTGTTCAACACGCTTCCACTACACATAAGGGGCATAACTGGCCGACCCCTCACTGTGTTCAAGAGAGAACTGGATAAGCACCTGCAAAGGATACCTGATCAACCAGGCTGTGACTCATACGTCAGGCTGCGAGCAGCCGCGTCCAACAGCCTGGTTGATCAGTCCGGCAACCAGGAGGCCTGGTCGACGACCGGGCCGCGGGGACGCTAAGCCCCGGAAGCACCTCAAGGTATGTTTGTTGATTATTATGGGGTCGTGAGGTGCATCGGATTGCCACGTGAGACAGGAGAAGAGTCCCAGTGTGTGGGGAATATGTAAACATGGATGTTTCCATGGATGCACAAGCGACTCCACCCTCCCAACCCCATCCCCCGCAACCCCAACCCCTCCCCACCTAAACCCTCCCGACATGTCCACCCCACGCGACCCCATGTCCATCCTACC